GAAAGTTGATCTTATTTGTTTTATTAACCAATAAGCTCTTACGCTGCACCATTGTTTTTCGTTATTTGCAATATTTATTTCATTCTCGTTAAATAACTTCTACAAATCATATATGCACATTAAGATATATTTTACTACATATAAAGAGCAAAATTCTGAAACTATACAGAATTCTTTTGAATATTTTATGCATATTTTGAATCATCTATAATAATATGAGTTTGTTTCATTTTATTCTATACCAATCAATTCAAAAGATTAGACGAATTGATTGCTTTAATGCAATTTATTATAGCTTATAGTTTTTGACATAATTTTAACAAATATCATATGTTATTTCAATAATATCTTCTGCTCGATCATATTTTCCTAATGCATATGCATAATATTGCTGAAGTCCTACGTTTAAGGTCAAGGTTGAGAGTTATTGATATTATTCTCGTTTGAAACTAAACTTTTTGATACAATAATCAAAAATTATTTACTTTTATTTGATTTTATAGCAATCATCATTAGATAATAATTATTAACCGGCACTTGGGGTTGGGCACGATCAAATACTTGAAAATTAATTTTGGAGTCCATAAGTGCATAGTATAATGGTTAGAATTCCCTGTAACAAATCTTGTTTTGAAGTTCATTTGCCGAACACAAAACTTTTTTCGAAATCGAAATTATTTCAAAAAAATATATCTTATTTTTTGCTTTTTAAGATAGTCATTATACACAAAATATTAGTAAACTATTTTTATTTGAATTACTAAAACTTTCAATTTTTTATTCTCTGATAGAAACTCTCAAATGATACATTATCCAATATATATGATTTTCTGCTGCTCTGAGTTATATCACAATGAATACTACATCATCCGCCAAGATTCGGCATAAAATTTCGAATTCATTGTATGTTAGAATCATTCTAATCTAAAATTTATGAAATCCCAAAGCCATATTTGCATAATGAATTATTAAATATTTAATACTGTAGGTAAATTTATCAAATTCGATATTTCAAATTTTACAATTTGTATAAAAGGATATATTTTTACACTATGCTGGGTAAAAGCATGGTAAAGTTTTAATAGTTCATAAGGAAGTATTTATAGTAGTGAAAATTGAAATTCGCTAAATTTATTGAGTTAGCTTTGGTGGATGATGTAGTATTCATTGTGATATAACTCAGAGCAGCAGAAAATCATATATATTGGATAATGTATCATTTGAGAGTTTCTATCAGAGAATAAAAAATTGAAAGTTTTAGTAATTCAAATAAAAATAGTTTACTAATATTTTGTGTATAATGACTATCTTAAAAAGCAAAAAATAAGATATATTTTTTTTAAAATAATTTCGATTTCGAAAAAAGTTTTGTGTTCGGCAAATGAACTTCAAAACAAGATTTGTTACAGGGAATTCTAACCATTATACTATGCACTTATGGACTCCAAAATTAATTTTCAAGTATTTGATCGTGCCCAACCCCCAAGGGCTGTTTTTTGTAAATATGAAGAAACAGTGTGAACCACTCATATTTTCTATCCGGTGACTCACATGATTTATATACAAAAGTTCTTGATTTTTGAATATATTAGTAATATGAGAATATATTGCTTATACTAATAAAAAATCAGTAAAATACATGCTTCATATATTTTAAAATATTATCTATTTCATATCAACTCTTGATTGAAGATAATTGAAATCAAGAAATTTTCTAGATCTTTCAATCAGAAACCGATCTCATCATTACATGTTAACATTTATAAATGCCAAATTCCAGTTTTTGTAGGAAACTGGCAATCTACTCTTCAGATTTGGAAAACTTTTGTTCTTTGGAATCCTTATCTTATAAGGGATATTTCGATATGAAGTGTATTCGGCATTTAGAACATTTTTGTTACAAAAAATATATAAAGTGAGGCCCAAATCCCATGTATGTTGGTAAATCCAAATAATCTATTTGTGCACTTAGAGCAAGCAATTGTTTTTTGTCTGTGCACACATATATTTGTTTACCAATTTCCAATACATATTTATATTGTTCATTATCTAAATAAAAATTGTTTTATATAGGGAAAAAAAACTCATATCTCATATCTTTATCATCTGTAAATTTATGTTTCAATGTCATTTGAGTATGCTGTCGATCAACTCAAATATGAGCAAATTATAAAAATTGTTTGAGTACTTTCCTATACCAAGTCTATTATATATGAAAGATAACTATAAAAATTTGAGAAGATATTGTCTGAACTTTGAATTCAGAGAATAAAAAATCAAAAAATTCACAATTTCAAAAAATATAAGCAACAAATATTTTAGATGCAGCATTTGTTTTAAATACGTCAAAATGTATTACACCTCTGCACGATATTTTCAATTCGGAAAAAAAAATTCGCTCTCCACAAATGAACCCGAAAACATGTTTTGTTATGGTATGCTCTTGCCATTACACTACAGCAGATGCGGTGGAAAAATCGATTTGACAGTATTTAATTGCGAGCAACACACATAGAATGTTCATTATCTTCATATTATAGATATTTTAAATTAAAAATCAAATTTCTTATGTTGCAACTTATCAATTTTTCACAAGAACTTTAATAATATATTTTGCATATTTTATTGTCAAGCTCAATAAACTTTAAATGATTTCTAAATTCAAATATAGCAATACCTCTATGTTAATATGCATGTACTGTCAACAAAATTTCTTATTTTTTGATTTGCCAAATACCCATGCGGTCACAAACTACTCTGTAAAACATAATCAATTTTGGAAGCAAAAACTTTCTCACCCAATATTTCTTATTCAAAAAAGAAACTCGAAGAAATTTTATTCGCTAAAGAAACAAAAACTAAATTAAATCTTCTAATTATTATTTTAGCATAATATAGTTTATATTTTACTTGTTTTAAACGTCAAACACCAGTTTTTTCCGGAAATTGCAAATCTACTGCGTAGATTTCGGAAAGCGCTGTTTCCCTGACATCACTATCACAATAAGGATATTTTAATTTTATATGCGCGTGGACGGATTTGGGATTAACAAAAACTCGTTTTCAGTAAAAAATAATTTGATAAATGCATTCTCCTAATATTGCGATTACCAAATCTCTCATCAGATCGAAAATATATTTATTCGTGTTGTAAATATCTCAATTTTTTCCAAAATTGATTTTGGATGAAAAAACCAAGTTTTTTCAAATTAGGTATTTATTCAATTTGAGTGCTACCAATAGATCCCTCTCATCATGTAGATGATGGACCAGGTGTCTGTTCATTCCAAAAGCAAACCTATGAGGCTACAAGTGTGCTTTTAGGCACAATCTAAATTGAATGCCCTCTCAAAATTGAATGCATGAACGTGGAGCCTTAAATCTATTAGCTTCAGAATTCAACATATATATGGTAAATAGAACCACCACAAGAAAGAAACATGTTTCAGATACATTTTATTTATTCTTTTCTCAATATTTAAATTTTCTGATTAAATGTCTTTTTTTTTCTATATTTGATGAAACCATTACTTATTATATCATTTATCAATGCAAATGGTAATAATATTTTAATGAATTGCTATGAAATTTTTTACAAATTTTTAATCTTATGTGAATATAGCACATAAAGATCAATAAATGATATTTCACATCATGGAAATGATAATTGCGCCTTTAAAAATAGATATTTTATTCATTTGATATCAAATTATTGTATTTCATGGCATTATCACAATTTCACATTGAATTTGATAGTTCCTATATCTGCTAAAAACAAAGAATATAGATTGGCACAAAAAACACGCTGTTTAATTTTTTTACAAATCAATTGGAATTGTTGATACATTTTCACACAATAACACAGTTATAAACATATTGTCCACATATGAAACTATCTTGCACATTACTTATTTATGTCCAAATACTAGGATATCATATTAAATCTTTTATTTAATATAACAAAAAAACACAAGATAGTACTTTGACTATATGAATGAATTACCCACCCAATACTTTAATTGTTCCTAAAGGAACATTGCAAAAAATTTAACTCTATAATTGATTTTCATGCTTTTCAAGCTCTATCGTCGTGATTTTGACGATTATTTTCATTTTTCGTCGAAAGACGATTATTTTTTTCATTATTCATAATCGCCCCTGAAAAATGGAATTCATAAATTTTATGAATAGTTTACAATTCACAAAAATTTTTCGAAAATTTTATGATATTTGTAAACTATACATAAAATCATGAATCTTTTTCATCATTCTCTCAAAATTGAATAGAAAATATTTTGGTATTTTTTGATAAAAATTCCTAAATAAATCAATCTTCGGTCATTTATCATTTTTGATGAATGATTGATGAGATGAACATCAATAAAGCAATATATTGTTGCCTTCATTACAAGTAAATTTGATTATTCATTTCATAAATTATTTTGATTTTTCGAATTTGAGTTAAAGCATGAATAATACTGTCTACCCAATGCATATAGCATCTGTTATAACTATGTGAAGAACAATCATGTCTTATTTGTCATTTTTCCTTCTTAAATGAAATACTTCAAGTTAACATGAGCAAATTTCATCATTAATGGCAATCAAATATTCATATTGTGTTTATGTTAATTTGCTGTCAATGTGCAACCTCTCATGCTATCTGTTATTTACTGTCATTTTATCATTATTTTTATAAAAATATATGTTTCGATTTTAAAAATCTAAATTATTACAACATTTGAGTTTCATTAAAAAGAGTGAAGGATTTTGGTACTTTGAATATATTTTAAATTCATAATTAATCTATCTTTAATAAATATTCATAAAATAACGAGAAAATAACTCATTGAAAAATAAATTGAATAACAAATATAAAGATAAATTGTGTAGTGACTTAGAATAAAACTTAAGGAGAATATGAATAAATGAATTAATAAAAAATAATAGTTGTATATAAAAAACAAACAAATGAGTAATATTTATTAATATATAAATAGTTAAACATAGAGAGATAATCCAGTGCAAAAAAGACATGTGCCGTTCATGCAGCAGCGCTTGCAGCAATGACGTGAACATGATTGACATTGTTCGGATGAAATAGAGCCGCAGATAGGACATCGTGTTAATAGTTCGTGACGAAAACGTGGTGAAAGAACACCAATAGATGTCCATAATGTAACATTAAGATCCGAGTCACTAGATGTAAAACATGTGTTGCTACCGTGGATTTGAAGAGAAACGATTTTATGTTGGTGAGGACTTTCTAATTCTTTAATTTCGATGATTGAATAATCAGCTCGATATGATGTTAAAATAATATTGCCATTAACAAAACCAACTAATGAATATCGAATAGATTCGGAATTAGATAATCGAAAAACACTAAGTGATGATGTCTTAGATTTATTGAATTCACGATGGGCGAGTGAACTACCATTGATACTATACAAATAAAGTGAAATCTCGGTCAAAACCCAGAGAAGACCACTAGATTCATCAAATTTAGATGTAACAATGTTTTCTGAAAGATCAACTTTGCGGTGGATTGTTCCTGAAAATGCATCCCAAATAACAAATGTGGATGAATATGATGTAACAACAATACAATCATATCCACATATGTCTGAAATAGGTTTAGATGGTAATGAAATGGCGGACAATGATGAAATCTCGGTAGGAATACCAAGTTCGTATTTGATTCGGAATGAACGTGATAAACAAAATGCATAATCAACAACTAACAAGAGGCCGTTCTCTGAAAGTGAAAAGCCGGTGCTGTAAACAAATGTTGGTGATGTACGTCGGAAAACAACATTAAAACTACGAATAGATGTAACAATGATAGACATGGATGAAATATCAAGTTGAAAAATCAAATCACGTGAACATTGAAGACGATGACTCATTAATGGTGATGATCGGATACTTTCGCCATCAAAGATGACGTGCTTAGATTTAAGAGACATGACTTGTGGAGTGATGATGTTGTGGATATTACAAATTGACTTCTTCTGCGAAGTTGTGACTTTAAGTTTAGCACTAAATGAAACAAATTCTGAATTTTGGAATTTCTTCAATGAATTACAAAATGAAAAAATATGTTTAGAGTTCTTCTCGGATTCAAGTTTCTCGTTGATATGTGATGATGTCTTCATACCATATTTGAGAAGTTCAGGAATAGACATAAACAATGGACTGATACATTCTTTAGAAATATTTGGAATTTTATCGATGTCATAAAATGTTGGATTCTTGATTTTCTTCTTTTTGTTCAATGAAAAAATGTCGGGAGTAGAATTACGTCGAAATATTTCTGCCTTCTTCGTGTTTTGAATAGTTTGTGGAACAATAGCTTTTGAAAATGTGACTGTCGCTCTGCTTGTTGCAACTGGTGTCTTATGAAATGATAAACTAAGAATTTCTTCTGAAAATGATAAACGTGGGAAAACAGGTTGATCGTCACAATTAACAAAGAATCGACCACATAATGCATTGTAGATCAATAATGTATCTGTTGCTGTGATCAACCCATTTGCGAACTTTTGGAGCGATTCTTCAATAGATTTAACACGATGAATGAATGGGAAAGGAGGAAGTGAATCTAAACACTTTTCGCTGATCTTACTGAAAAATGGACTGATTTCGTCTGAGTTCTGTTTACAAAATGTTAAAATAAAACTGCCACATTCGAAACCCCAAAAAATATATTTTTGTTCATTCTTATGAACATAAATTAATTGTGAGTATTTGACGCTGATGACAATTCGACCAGCAAAAATGGATGTACTCCCCCAGTCACCTTGGATGGATTCGTTGATAAGATTCTTCATTTCATCATGATCTAAATCTTGAAGAATCATTTTATCATGTTGAAGTTCTGAAAATGTGACAACATCAAATGATGTTTCGAAGAAAAAAACTGAACAATGCAATTTCTGTGAAAAACGTGATAATTCGGTATTAAACTTATAGAGCAAATTACCTTCGTTGTTGTGGATCTTTAAGAATAAATCGGTAATGTCGTTTCGATGTGTTGCAACTGCTTGCTTGCTGTAATAATCGTATTCGATTTCACAACGACTGAAATATGATGGTGATAACAAACGAGGGGGATAAAATGGAAATGAACGGGGACAGAGTGTGAAATAAATTGGACTGTAATCATCAATAGAACTCTTCTGGTCTTTGATTTCTGTCGAAAAACTCATCCATGATACCATTTCTTCTAAAACAATGAACTCTGAATTTAATGAACTCAAAACTTCACTCATCAACAATTCGTAAACACGTTTGTGAAAATTAGAGATTTCTCGACTCTTATGATATTCAAGACTGATTAATGGAAAGTTCTTACAAACAAAATCTTTGACATTAATAGATGAAATAACGAGACTGATTTCGATACTTTTCTGTTTGTAAAATGGTTCGAAATATGTGATGTCTCCTTTGCGTGCAAGAGAAAGAATATCACTTTCAACTTTGTTTGAGATCTTGTCAAAGAAAAGAGATGTGTTTGTATGAGATAATAATAAAATGTAAATCCATGAATAAAGTGATTTAGAATTATCAACTAAAATAGAAAATGCTTTCATGCATGAAATAATATGACTAACAATCAATGGAACTTTGTCTTCCGATAAATGACTGAATAAATTAATCAATAAACAGTCTGTAACTGATGAAATAGAATTAATGATTTCATTATTTCCTAAAAGTGAATTAATAAATGTCAAGATGTGTAAAAAGATGTCTGTTTCGAAGCCTTCTAAATAATTAGAATTAGATAAGAATAGAAGAGATGTGAACAAATTAATGATTTGTTGTGTTTTAGATGGATTTGTTAAGATATAGTTCAAAACATTGATAGTCAAAAATTTGATCAATGGATCATTTCTGATTTTAGAAACTGAAACAAATGAAAGAATGAAACTACAAATAAAACTTGGATTTGATAATATCAAAAAGTTGTTGATCAAGTTTGAAAAATGTGTGATTTGATAAAAGTTGATATTATTGTTTTTGACATCAATAAGTTTTTCAAAATATTCGATACCATTGATGTCAACTGATTCTATCCGAAATGATTTTTCTAAGACTTTGTCAATATTAATCCAGATTTTATCATCAACTTCAATATGAATGTTTTCGGAATTACTTTTAAGAAATTTGAATTCGGTACGATCTTTCAAATAAATAATATTTAAACATAAACTCAACCATGTAGAAAGACAGATAACGAAATTCTGATTTTCACTTAATATATTGATCTTTTTCAAAATAAATAATGAAAGATCATTGACATATTTCTCTAATTGAGTGTTACCGGACCAACAGCTAATTGTACCAAAACTAATCAAAACAATACCTAAATTATAAATATCGGGATGATGAGATTGGTCTAAAATAACAATGATATCTTTCCAAACACTGTCTGAAAGAAAGCATTCAGAAACAATTTTTTGCATGATACGTGTGGGTATAACATAGTCATTATCATATGAATTCAAAAGAGACATCAAATGAATGATTTTGATCTTCAATTCGGTGGAAACAACTAAACAAATTTCAACAAGAAAATCAAATGGACAGATAGAAAGAACAATATCATATGTGAATTTATCAATGAATTCTGTAAGTGCATTAATAATATTAGACTTCATTTCATCAGAACCAATACGTAATAAACAGTTAAGGTATGGTTTCAACAATGGAACTTTGTTGATATTTTTTAAGATTGCAATGATCATTTTACATAATCCTTGGTTGTCAATGATTTTCTTTGTCAAGAAGATTTCGAAATTAGCAACAGAGCGAAAATCATTTTCATTGAATTGTTCGAAAATACTTTCAACAAGGATATCGTTGTTAACATTATCCCACATCTTCTTGTGAAGAAGAATACTTGTCAATGCGGATTCTGATTTAGAATTCTTTGATAATGAAACTAAAAATTCTAAAAACAAATTTTTCGAAATAAATTTGTGTGAATTAGAAATAGAACCAATTAAGATCCAATAAAAGCGTTCTGATTCGTAATGTGTGATCTCTTGGATATTTAACAATGTGCGAAAGACTGAACTGAACTCTTTCTCATTATGTGAATTATGAAGACTTTCTAATAGTTTTCGTTGTGGAAAATTAGACAAAAACAACATGGGAAAGCCGAAATATGGAACTAAAACACAATTCGATGGAATATAAACATCAAAATTACCTTTTTCAAGTGAAATCGGTGTAATAATTGTTTCATCATCATACAATGAAATAACACAACTTGCTGATGAATTAAAAATATCCGTGAAACTCTTAGGACTTGTTTTAAAAAATCGAATTGCAGATCCTAAAAATATTAAATCTTTTGTAGCTGCACAAAATCGACAAAATGTTAAATTAGATCTCTTCGCCTTTAATTGGAATGTGAAAACACGTCCATTAACATTCAATGCCAATGATGAACTCATTAATGATGATTCAACTTTAATTGCAATGAAATTCCATTTAGTTAAATCTAAGTTCATGGAACTTGTTTGATCATCGCAATTAATTATCAATTTTCCATCATCTAATGATATATTCAATACATCTGTCTTAATAAACCTTAAACTGTGAATTAGGTTATTATTTGTTCTAAACCAAAAAGTGACAGCAGAAAAATTCAATTCGAACGATAAATCCGAATTTCCCGTATAAAATTGGAATAACTGGAAATGGTCGAATGATGTATCACAGAATCTTTCAAGTTCATATGGTCTTTCCAATAACAATTTCAAATATTTCGCCTGCAAAAAACGATTTGCGATTTGATCTATCATAGGAACTTGGAAAATATCTTTTGTTCTTTTCAAAGATTGTTCAATGAAACTATTTCCTAGTAACCATGCGTTGTAAGGATCCAATTTCATTGGTTTCTCAAGTAAATGGACTAATGAATGAACACGAATTGGTCTGCAAGTTGCTTTATTTAATCCGAAAATCACTTTCTCCAATAAATCTTGTGGAGCAGAAAAAAGTGGATGATTATCTGGCAAACTTGCAATTTTATGTTCTAATTCATCAAATCTTCTAGTACATACTAAAGCTGCTAATAACTCAACGAGATCTTCTAGTTTTAGATTATCAAATGCCCATGAAATACCATTACTTATAACAAAATTCATCGCTGCATCTTGTGAAAAAACTAAAACCGCATTTAATGATTGAATTAATTCAATTTGGCCGGTTTTTTGTATGAAGTCTAACAAAATTCTGATGATACTCGACTCGGCAGAAATTGAAAGAAAAGCTGTTAACAATTTGTTCAATGTTTCTATTTTCAAATTCAAAACTGCCTTGAAAACAGAAGGTCTAAATGAAATTGCACCTTCTAATGAATACAAACTCAAAACTAATGATGCAAAATTTTCATATTTGGAGTATAATTGGACAGTTATATTTGGAGATAATTGGACAACAAAAGCAGAAAGAAAATTAGTTTCTAAAATCATGTTATAAGTTAAATATTTCATTGTTATTTGACCAATTAACACTTTTAATATCATGACAAGGGAATCTATCTCTGGTTCTACTCTTATGATGCAATTAAACACAATAGGAAGACATTTAAACACAAGTTTTGGCTGTGTTTTGTCAAGAATTGAAAGAAAAGTGGCCATGACGTTTAAATTTGGAAAATTCCAGTTAAATAAATTTTGTGTTGGAATAATTTGGTCAAGTTTTGAAATCGAGTCTGGAATCTTGGTAAATAACTCTGAAATCATCAGGAAAATTGATTGTTGCATAGGAGATGTTTCAACAAAAATTTTGTAAAGATGTTTGTAAATTTGTAAATTTGGAGGTGAAGAACCATCTTCATTTTGTGAATAAAGCATCGCCTTGTAGCAGTTAGCACGTTTTTCGAAGGTTGTCTTTGAAACTAAACAGTCAAAGATTATAAGTGAATTTTGACTGAAAAATTTTGTAATTTGACGTGAATTTGATGATACAAATTGGAACATATTTGATATAAACAATGCTGATTGCTCCGCAAGTGAATCCGTGATCTTATCATCTCTGATATTAAGAGCGGCAAATTGGAAGAAATCGAGATAATTGACATTTTTGTATTGTGGTCTGAGATCTTGATTGAATAGTAGTGTATTGACGTAGATTGCTGCTTGTTCGTTATCAGAATTGATAAAAATATTCTGAAAAATGTATTCAAAACTGGATGTAGATGAAAAATCGGATATAAAATTTGGTTTGCGAAGGAAAGTTTCGAAAAAATTCTGTGAGAATGATAGAATTGTCGGTAATTGATTTGATATTTTGCAAACTGATATTAAAATGTTACAATATTTGCGACAATTCAATGAAAATTGTGATATACCGTATGCTTTCGTCAGCACTTTCATGTATTGTAATGTAATTGCAGCGTTATTATCGATTAATGAGGAATATTCAAGCATTTCTTTGCAAATACTATTGAAATTTGCGTTTGTTATCGATTTTGTTGACGCAAGGAGAATGAAACTATCTAAATGAATGAGAAATTGATTGATTAACATCTGTTTTTCCACTTCATATGTACTTTTTCGAAGTTCTTTGAGGGTATTCTGGATTTCCACCAGGTGTTCCATTCCTTGTTCTTCTTCAGCTCTCACATCTGAAGGTCTCCTGAAAAACAAGGAACTCATTGAATTACCCTCAGCTCAACAAGTGTGTTTTTAACTGAACTATTGTTAAATTAAGAAGGAGTATAGTTGATATACTGAGTTATCCAAAATGGCAATCAAAATAACAGTTTTATAAATTTCTCTATTGTGACTTTGATATGCCAGAAATGCTTGGCTTTGATTGCCTATCTTGTGTTTATTCATTATTGAAATGTATTTTAGCTCAAATCAATATTTTATTAATCAATTGAGATATTTATAATGAAGAACTCAGTATCATGAAGACTTAGTTATAAAATAATCTTAAAAATGGTTGACAATGATTCTCATAGAAGAAAAAAAGTTGAGCAGAGTAATAAATTCAAAACAATGCGATCATTTAAAAATCACAATAATTAGGCCATTGGTGAGGATAGATCAATACATTTCACTTAAATACTAAGTGATTAGTTCTTAAGGTAAGGCTTTGGGGTTAATATGCAAATCAATTTCAAAGATATCCTTATTAATTTGTTAAATCGACACAGTCAATAATAAAAAAGAAGTAATTAGCAATAAATCAGATTCAAACAAGATTTATTAAACATGAAAAAATACCGATAACTAATATAAAAAATCTATAAGAGTTAATACGAATTGAACCATTCATGCTTCAAGCACTGGCTAATCGTAGGGCGTTTTGCAGGATCCTTTGTGAGCATTGTTGAAATTAGATCAATTAATTGACGAGAACAATGAACTTTCTCAAGTAATATCTTATTAAATGGTTGCTGCTTGACATTATCTAAGTAGGTTGTTTGGTTCGGTGCTTTAAATGGTAAAACACCTGTCAAAGCAACATACATGACAACTCCCATGGACCAAACGTCGACCTTTTCTGTGTGGTCGCCTCCGTCAACAACTTCTGGTGACATATATGGCCATGTTCCGAAAACTCCGTGTTCATAATTACATTTTTCTTTATCATGGATTGTCGCTAAATCGAAATCTATAATTTTCATCTTACCATCAAGGCAGAGGACTATGTTTTCTGGCTTGACATCATTGTGGACGATGTGATTCGAGTGTAGATCTTTTAATCCGACAAGAACATTTGGTAATAAGCTCTTAACTAGCGTTTCAGAAAGGCAACCGTGTTTAATTATGTCCATCAAATTGGTTTTTCCGGCTTCCATCACTAAGACATAATTGTCATTTTCCTCAAAAGCAGAATATGTCTGTATGACGCCGGTACTGGAGATAAATGCTTGAGCATTAACCTCTTCTAAGAAGCGATCGAGTGGTTTTACATTTTTCGGAAATTTTTTAAGTACAACGGTGCGCTTTTCCATTTGATCATAACAGATCTCGGTGCTAGAGTTCTGAGAGGATGATAAAATCTTCTGTTGAATGTAGCGTTGCTTTGTCGACATTAAAAAATTATAAAAAATTTTTGGGCCAAAAAAATTGAAACAAATTGTTTGAAAGAATTTTATAACGGAACATTAACCCCTTTGTCCTGTGTTATTTTATAGATGGTTATTTCCCATTTAGAAAACAAGATGACAAAAAAAATGACTTTTTGGATACTTTTTGATGATTTTTTATTTGATCTGACTTAAATTCATGTAAATAGTATAATTATACATTGATTGAAAAAATCATTGTTTAATTTGAATGGGTCTGAAAAACAAAATTTTGATTGGAACCGAAATAATTTTGTTCAAATAAATCTTAATATTAATTACATCATTAATATAACAATTATACGAGTTGACAATTTTAGATCTCAAAATTGAAGAGATAAATCACCTCTTATGCATTTTATGTATTTCTTTGTAGTTAACAGAATATTTATATAAAGTGAAGTCATCATCTGTTCCCTGAAAAATTTTAGAACCAATCTCATTATTTCATTGCATTTTCGAATTAATAAACTGTATACATAATAATTTATTAAACGATTTATAAAAAATAATCCACCAAAAATTATTATTGGCCAGCCAATCTTACAGAATTTAATTTTTACAAGATAATTTTAAAGTTTACGAAATTCAAGATATTTTGGCACGATTAGTTCTGATTTATATAATAAATTCCAAATTTCTGATCTCAAATCTATTGGCGAAAAGGAAATTCTCTGTGAATCTTTTCTATCTGACCGTAGTTTATTTTAACATCTGCTCATCGCTTAAAACAGAACTTAATTTGATTCTCGATTTAAAATGAAAATTTTTTTCTAATTTTTATCAGGAATTCTAATATTATGACGAAATATTTACAATTTCGGAAAATTTAAACAGCCAAATAAAATTATTATTTATAAAGATCATTATTCCTTGATATTAATTTTTCTTAAATTTTATTTTTTTATCAACGAAATTTTTTTTATTTGTAAATGGATGAAATTCAAGTTATCAAAGAATCTTTTTTTGCAAACCACCCGAACTGGACAGCTATAGACCTCAGATCCAAAAAAGATGGTAAGTGGCTTACATTTTATAACGCAAAAACCAATAAAAAATATAACGGACCACGATATAAACAACTTAAAACAGCAAGGCGTCAATTATATGTTCATAAAAAGTATGAGGAGAAAAAAGAACCTGCTCCTCCAACAATTTATGATATAAAAATCAATGATAATTATACAAGTTTGCCATGTCGTCCTTTATGTCCATATCTTTTAAAACAAAATGATCCGAGAGAATCACCTGCTATAGATCTACCTGATTTATCTGAATATTCTTATAAAAAATTTAAAGGTCATCCACCTTTAACAACAAGACATAGATATTCAACGCATTTATTCAACAGACTTAGGCAGGAAGAGATTATTCAAAATCTACCGAAATTTAATCCACACCCTCCTGTAAAGAGAGAATTGCCAAAAACTCCATCACTATTTGAGCGATCAATTCAAGGTGATCCCTATGAATATAAATGGAATGATGATACTATTAAAATGGCAAGAGAGATCTCAACTGCGATTAATCCAAGAAGGAAATTCAAATCTCCATAGCGCTATCCTTTTTGGTCAAGAGATCCGTACTTACCGCGCCATCAAAAGCGAATTCTGTTTGTTACGCAACTATCCTTTTAGATTACAAATATTAAATAACTATTTCCATGTTTATTTTATGTTTTTCTTACTTCAATGACTTTTTTGAATAAGTTCCGATGTAGTTATAGGTGTTGTAATAATGCACGAAAGGTTCGAATCGACTTTGACTGTTCGTACCGATAAGAGCGCAAGCGTTATTTGTAGTTTTGATATTCGGAATTAAAATGACCTAAAACATCTATTTTTCCAAAACTAACCAATCAAGAATTTAACAATTATTGATTGTCATACAATCAATGTTTTATGCTGGAATAATGATGTACAAATGTACATAATTTAATATTTCTGATCTGGGCAGCTGTGGCCGTGGATTTTCCTTATCAAAATAATTATTAGAGAGAATTTCTTGATCGAATACTACACCAAATCAAACTATGAAAAGGCATGTGATTTGATCGTATAAAAAGACTAACAAATAGTTGAGAACTATTCAATTATAACAAAATGAACAATCGAACTGTCAAAAAATTGAGAGAGCGAATAATAATATATTTAGATCCAATATCTAATCATTTATTTTAAATTTAGGATTTCTGAATGAAAATAAACTATTGAAAAATATTAACTGATGTTGGAATCATCTTCGGAACCTATCGAATACGATATGAAGATCTATTTTTTAGATTAATTTATGATAGGGCGGATAAAGATGGCTATCTTTTATCTCAAATTATTTTGAGACGATTGAATGATCTACAAAAATTGTAAATATTTGAAATTTAAGCAAGAATAAAAAACAGGTTTTTAGAGTGAATATTCATCCATAAGGAATGGATCGTCAATATGTGTTATCTGCATGGGTTTTTTGAAGTCTACGAACATATAGTCTTGTGGATATAAGAAGAAAGCGTATTCGAGGTCGATATGATCTTCATCTGCTTCTGGTTGTAAATTAAGTTCTGGTTCTGGCTGCAATTCTTTCATTGGTTCTGGAGTCTGTTCTTCTGGTGAGGAAGCAATTTCTATGTCATCTTGGTGAAATTTTCCTGCTTGTCCATTCTTAAAGTGATGAACAATCTCGAGGATTGACTTTCCTGGTTCTGATTCAAGCCAATCGAAACCTTTAGGAACAGATGGGCTGTTAATAAGGGTTTCGATACCGTTAGAATGGGATTTGATGCAAAGAATTGTATTTGGATTGGTCAAAAATGACTCATATTGTTTCCAATTGGCATAAATAAACATGACGAACTTTCTGTTGGAGAAGAGCTTCTCGGCTGAATCAAAGTTTGTGCAATACCAATTAAAAACAGTTGGTTGATTAAGAAGAGGATGGAACCTTTCCCATGATCCCTGAAGGAATGCAAACATACCTTTCCTTGTTCTCCAATCGCATCTAACAGTTCTGATTCCGAATTCTTTTGCGGTCATCTTCACAAGAATAGCTAAGAAATCACGTCTAAGGAGGCGGGAATAACCTTTGAGACATGCCTTAATGTTATCCATGGACTCTAATGGAGCAGAGGATGCGCGTGACATTCGAAAGAAGAGAAGTGATCCACCCTTCTCAAAATAAAATTCAATATGCCTCTCAAATATTTGAGAGGATGATTTTGGTCATCCTTTTTTCATAGGAATTTATCGGTATAATATATTACAACGAACGCCTCATAAGCCATTGTACATGAATATGAAGATCAGAAGCCAATCGAAGTTTGAAGTTTTCTTAGAAAGAAAATTTGGCCAGAAGATGATCAAGAAGAAAACACTTGTCTAAAGAGAAAGAATAAAAGTGTCATTATTTACTTAAAGCAATTATTTAGTTTCATATAATTGTTAGTCATAAGATCGATGAAAATGATGAGATTTGTTCAATTTATGGTAAAAATCTGATTATTATGGGATTTATAGAGTGAATATATATGTATTATCCCTATATATTACTATCTACATATGAAATGTTCACTTTGATATATATTGTGTAAGAAAGATTTTATTGATTAGAGTTTGAATTACCCCTCAATTTGGTTAAAGAAAATTCAAATAAAATTATTAAATACTATAAAATTAATAGTTAGTATATTTTGATGAATTTGCATTCGATGCCCGTGATTATATTTTGCATATGATTTTTCGGTGCTTCTCAAATTATTGGATGCTATTGAATTTTTTTATAATAAATCATCTGATAATTTGCTGAGATAATGAAACCAAATCTTTTTAAATTTATCATGTAAAAATTGATGATTCAAAAGTTATTTTTGAAAATTTACTTTCCAAAAGTATCCATAATTAGTTAGTGGTTAAATATTTTTTATTTCAATTTTTTTATTTTTTCAAAGGATTCATGATTTTATTGAATCAATTATCAAGTGATACTGATGTATATGCTAAATTTTAATTTATTAAATTTTATTTCAAATTTTGAGAAAAACCTACTTTCTCAATCTCAATACTTCACTCATTACTTAAAGATAAATGATTTAGACATCATCTATAATTTGTAATAATTCACTTTTCACTTACTTTTTAGCCATCGAAATTGAAGCAAACCGGTTTTCTATGGGATTGTTGTTTTTCTCAAATTACAAATATCCATCCAAAACATGGATAAATGGTTTTATTATGCTTCCTTCCATACACTAATTCAGATTTTCATTTACTCTTGATCCCATCAACTTCCTCAACATCAGATTTAATTGGTAGATATGAAATATATCTTTGATTGGATTGTTTATCTAATGAAGTGGTCTACCATCCAGCGTTATACTGTAATAGAATAATTCCTGTTACTTATATCCGTGTGCATTCACATCGAAGTATAAAATATAAGTACCACAAAGCCATTTAGCTATTTTCATATATGATGAGATAAGTTCATACAATTTCATACAAATTATGTGTTTATTTCAACTTGAATCAATTTAGTGATTCAATTTCATGAAATAATGAATATAGATACTCTCTTGTTATTTTCTATTGGTTTCCTTTGGTTCTACTAAACGTCTCAAGCTATTATTTTCAATTTAAAATTCATTTTGAATCTAATTTGATTCTCCGACAATTTCATAAAAATATCCTATAATGTATATGTATGCTTATTGAAACTAGGCCGAAGTATATCATAAAAACAATTATGATGAGAATTCATTGTTTGTCAGGGGCTCGCAACTATAAGCGAGAAGAATGTCTCACATTCCTAGAAAAAGACTATTCAAGTATCATATATAAAGCAAAGTAAATTAGTTTTGATTTTGAATCTTTTTCTTGCATTCTTCAAGTTGCCATTGTTTTTAACACAGCACTATTAAATATAATATTGATCAATTAAATTACTATATGCATTCAATGAGTTAAGTTTGATTCTGGATGAAGTGGATGTGTAAAAATCACAAATTACAACTTCATTGTCCAAAACCATATAAGTTCAGTACCTATAGCTCTCTAATGCATTTTCCGTTTTCGTTCGAAGAGGTGGAAGAGATGTGAAAACGGTTTGCAAACTGAAATCATAAAATATTTCATTTCCTTCATCTTGTTCGTTGCTCAACAAAATTGATTATTGTTCAGTCTCAATGAACAAAGAAGGAATTTAGGTGACGGATACGACACCTGCACCAGTTCATCTTTCAAGAATCTGCTTTTTTCATAAATGACATTCCTATTAATCAAGATTATCTAATCACAAAACTGTTTCATCTTAAGCCTACTCCGTTCGCAAGGTTTGCAACTGGAAACTACAAGAAATATAAGTTTTTAGCAAGTTCTCTATTTCCTGTCCAATAATCAGAACAACTTATAATTGATTGAATCTTCTTGATAATTGATGACCATTCCACCGTTAGAACTGAATACCAATATGAAAATTGCAAAATTACATTTCTAATTTTCTTTGTCTTGAAGCAAAAGAGATTAGAACTAGCTTTCTTCAACTGTGTGATAGTTTACATCATAAAAAACCGAAAAATTGCCATGATCTAAACCAAGTTCCAGTTAGTTGAAGAGAAAATGAAAAAAGAAAAATCAAAAAGCCAGTGGCGGGACTCGAACCCGCAACCCCAAGATTAAGAGTCTTATGCTCTATCCGGTTGAGCTACACAGGCTTCACATTTCTTCATCATGAATTTTTAGTAAAAATTCTCTTTATTCAGACTTAATTTTTTTTCGAAATTACGAAATTGGGATTTCTCACAAGGTATTTAAGCTTAGATAGGAATCTATTCGTTTCCATTAGTGTGAGATCATATATCTCAACCTAATTGAAAATATCAAATTATTTTTCAATTTTTAATTCATATTTCTATCTATGGAATTGTCTATCTATATATCAAGTGAATCCATTACCTTTATTCTCAATTTGATGGAAACGTTTTTACCAAAAAATGAGGTTTATAAAGGGAAAAAACTTATAATTTAAAAAAGAATCCAGAATAGTAATAAGTTTAGTTACGCTCACCACGGATGCGCTGAGCAAGTTGAACATCACGTTCCATAATTGTAACACGGTTAGCATGGATAGCGCAAAGGTTTGTGTCTTCGAAGAGGCCGACAAGGTAAGCTTCAGAAGCTTCCTGGAGGGCAGCGATAGCAGAGGACTGGAAACGAAGATCACCACGGAAGCCAGAAGCGATTTCTCTGACGAGACGCTGGAATGGGAGCTTACGGATAAGGAGATCTGTGGACTTCTGGTACTTACGGATTTCACGAAGAGCGACTGTACCTGGGCGGAAACGGTGCTGCTTCTTAGCGCCCTGGGAATCGATTGTTGGTGTTGACTTACGAGCGGCCTTGGCACCGAGGGACTTACGTGGGGTCTTGCCACCTGTGGACTTTCTAGCTGTCTGTTTTGTACGAGCCATTATAAAATTAATGGCAATTCCATTCAGTACTTTATTCCCCGCCAAAAATAGACCATATGTCATAATAAACTTAATAAAATTCAATAAACTATGAAAATGCGGTTTACAAAATTTGGTGGTCTAATTTGTCATAGCGCCATTTTTGGCGGGGAATGCGATTTGACATTCTATCGTCTGAACTTCATTAGTTATAATGTCCGGCCGTGGTAAAGGTGGTAAGGGTCTTGGTAAGGGTGGTGCTAAACGCCATCGTAAGGTTATGCGTGAGAACATTCAGGGTATCACAAAGCCAGCTATCCGTCGTCTTGCTCGTCGTGGTGGTGTCAAGCGTATCTCCGGTGATATCTACGAAGAAGTCCGTGGCGTCCTTCGTCACTTCCTTGAGAACGTTATCCGTGACTCTGTTACATATACAGAACACGCTCGTCGTAAAACAGTTACAGCTATGGATGTCGTCTATGCTCTCAAGCGCCAGGGCAAGACACTCTACGGTTTCTAAATAAATGTTACCATTGTTTTACATCTTATTTATTTAAATACCTTTTTTTCATACCTTAAGTTCAAAATTTGATAATATTCTAACTAAGAATAAAGATCTGTTTTAAAAGATTAGAACCGTAACAAATGGGAAATGATCCTGATTAACCAGAGCACAGAATTACTATTCAGATGAAATTAACTGAAAAATGAAATTGCAAATTCATTAAAAGATTTAAAATCTTTCTAAAGTATATTGAAGTATCGTTCAAATAATATCGAACTCTGTATTCTTTTTAGGGGTATTACGTTAAAAATAACATCTAAGATCGATTCTAATTTTACATGTAAAATTTATTTGGTAAATGTGAGAGAATCTGATCTACTACACAATCTTATTGTTATGACGGCGGTGATGAGTTAAAAAGAAATTGTAATTTGAAATGGAAAAAATACTGAATTAAATGAACAAATCTATCAACTATTCTATCACCCAATAGTAGTGGAGTATATAGCTCCTATTGATATAGTTTAAATCTGACCACTTCTGAAAATTTGCAATAGACTACACTAAAAAAATATCGGGCTAAGTGGGAATTAGGTTTATAACAGAACAGCCTAAAAGCTATAAATTTGATTTTCTTTCAGTTGTAAGTGAAGATTGAGAGTTAATATAAATTCATTAATCATAGATCATAACAATTGAATATTTAAAGTTAGATTATTTATATTTGATTAAAATAATAGTATTTTACTGATTTTTAATAAATTAAAATTGTTTAAATACCGAGTTATAAAGATTCAAATAATAAAACCGTCAAAAAAATTCGAAAAATACATTTTTATAATAAATTCATTTGTATTTTGTTCTGATATTTTGATTTTTCGAATTTTTTTGGAAAAATCAAAGATCGAGAAATGCATCCATTTTGCTTTCTGAGGGCTATGTTAGTGCTCTGCATGCCAACTTCATCGAATTACAGCACAATATGATTATACTTACAATTTAGCTATTTTCAAAGGAATTATCTAAACAAATTCTACTTAACAGTAGATGGAAATACATATTCTTATTGTTTTATATTCAGAATGAAAACTTTATAATATATGTTTCTTAAAATCCTATCAAATCTCGAAATACTTCTTCTCTACGAATGATACATAAACTTTATTTTATGATACTCTAGCATACTTATTAGATATTCGATCTCATTTTCGTAATATTCGAGATATTTGACATAAAAAGAGTTTCGGTAGTATTCGATAAAGAATTACATTTACCTATAATGTAATCTCGATAAATTTTTACTCATTTCTTTCATTCCTTTGTTTGAAAATTTGATTGTATAGAGATTGACTTTTGAATAAACATTACTACTGATAATAGTCATAAATCGCATGAGCAATCTGTTTATTACATTTAAACCTTTGCTTTACTGAGACAAATTTGCCATATCATAAAATCCTGAAAATGAACGTTTGAAAATAAAATTTCAATGGAAAATCGAGAGCTGGAGAATTTGCACAACATCATTGCGCATGATGGTCGCGTGGAGATGGTCCGGCTTAACAGAGACACGGGCGAGCAGTTCGCGTCAACTGGACAAGATTTTCTAATAAATTTGTGGTCAATTGGGTCAAATAAACCCAAAAACACATTAGGACCATTCAAAATAAAAATAACGGCAATGGAATTCTCTCATAAAGATAATTTACTTTTGTGCGGAAACACAGAAGGAACGGTGATGATTTTCGATATAAAAGATTCTAGGTGTGTAAATCAGTGGATTGCACATAAATCATCTGTCACTGCTTTATGTGCTCATCCAACTAATCATTCCATCGTACTTTCAGGTGGCGCAGATGGTAAATTACTGCTATTATCAACTCAAATGAGAAGACCATTACAGATGTTCAGTGCGCATAAGGGCACTATCAACCATATAGCTATATCATCAGACGGTCGTTACGCTGCAACTGCTGGTAATGACAGAACAGTTAAAGTTTTTGATTTAACTTCTACAAGACAAGTAGCCAAGTTCGATTGTTTCCAAGATGCTGTTCTTACTGTTGAATTCCATGCAACAAGGCAACTTATTGCTGCAGGAAGCGCTGATAAATCTATTCATTTCTTCGATACTCAAAAATGTGAAGAGATAAAGGCAGATGAAATACCATTAGATTCATCATCTATTGAAATTATTCGCTTCCAATCTGAAGATGGACTCATATTTGCAGCATCAAAAGATTATTTAAAAACTGCTACTTGGGAACCGGTTAAACTACACGATTACATGCCATTAGGCTTCGACAAGATAGATGACATCGCAATAAACAACGTTACAATGACTATTGCTTCTTCTTCCGGAGATAGAATTCTTATAGACAGATTAAGAAAAGATTCGTTCAAACCATACATATTTGCCAATGTGGGAGTTCATGCAATTGGCAAAGGCGAGATTGAAAGATCGGTTCAAGTTAAAACACCTCGATTACTTGATTTAGACGAAATAAGACCTTCTTCTGTAGAAAGATCACGAAAAACGTCAACAGCATCGTCTTCGCGCTCTAATTCAACGTCAACAACTATTTCTTCAAATACGACTTTAAAACCAGAAGAAACTGGAATATTTCACTTTAATATCTCCACGAAAAAGAAGAAACCAAAAAACAAAACATTCGAACTATACAAGGAAGGTCGCAGTGACTCCATGCAGTTTCTTACGAACAAATACAGCAAATTATGTTCTATTAACGATATGATTACAATGTCAGGTCTTGATGATACTCTACAGAAGATCATAGATAGTAGAGAAGATTTAGCAGCTGATTTACTTGGCATTATTCGCTTAAAAGTTGATTGTTTAAATATTAAGTCAGCTCCTGTTGTTATTCGAATAGCAGCACTTGCTTTTATAGAGGATGCTGAAATAGCTGTTTCTACAGTAGAAGTGATTTTGCAAATGTTCGGAGCTCAATTTTTGGATGATGAGGAAAAAGGAGATGAATATAAAGAAATGGTTGGTGCTTTGGCATCAATAAAACCAATGCTAACTAAGGTCAAGAATTCCAATGAAGAATATGCTGAAACTGCCCGACAAATTTTGAATGAATATTCAGCTTTGTTTGTTTAATAAAAATATTATTGTTATTTTGTATTTCATGACTAAATTATCACAATTTTAATGAAGTTTTACATAAATGTTGTAATGCGACGTTTTTTCAATAATCAACAAACAATAATTTCTAGTTTCATTTAAAGAACAGCATACAAAGGCCAATCAAAAGCAGTACATATATACAGAACTGCCATTTCAGCTATTTTTGAAATTTAACGTCTTGAATTAACAATATTTTTAAAATTTAATAGCGCAAATAATTATAAAATAAGCTTTAAGAAGTATTTTAATCATCTTTTCTCAAAAATTTACTTTTTATTCAAAACAGATCTTTTGAGAATGACATAAATTGTAAATAATTGAGAAATATTAAGGATGTCAATTTGGAAGAAAAGTGAGAAAATTCCTAAAATGCTAAAAATGAATTTTCCAAACGTACTTTTTTATCTCATTTTTTTGATTTTGAAAAAAATTTGGAGAGAAGAACTCTTCGTTTTTGAATTTTGTCACGATGGTTTTAAAGTATATTAGACACATGTATTGATATTACTATTTTTGTATATTTTGAGAGAAAATCCCTAAAAAGTGAGAAAATCTGAGACGGTTTGAGAAAATATATAAACTATTGAAAATTTGAATTAAACTTCTAATTTGGAAAAAAGAAATTTGGAAAGAAGAAAATTCAAAAATCGAGATTTAGACTCAGTATCAAATGGAGAACAAAATGTTTCTTCATATGAAGGAAAAAATTTTCTTGAGAAGAAATAGAGTTTTTAAAATTTTATTGTATGTAATGAAATAAACAAATATTAAAATTATTTTTTGATAACAAGAAAATTCCCAACAGAAAATATTTGAGACAAAGAAAAAAAGAAAATTGAAAAATATTACTCTCCTTTATATTTCATAAGATTTTCAATTTATTTTCATAAAATTGACAATTTTATACGTTTAGATGAAAATAAGTGATTTTGCTTGAAATAAAAATTATTGTTTGTTTACAGCTATCAAATAGATTTTTGCTATTTTGATTAAAATTTGTTAATCAAATTAAAAATTTTTTTCTAAATATCTTAAATATCTGGATCACTCACTGATACAATGAATTAAACGATAAAAATAATACAAACTCAACTAAGTTTCCTGTCTTTCAACCAAAAAATATTATGCAATTTAAATTAAATTGTTTATTCAAAGATAAAACAAAGATAAAGTAATTATAATTATCATATACTTTATGAATAACTCTCTAATTGGATAAGATTTTCGTACAAATATTTTTATTAATATCGATAAGAATATGTTTACCTACTATCACCATATGTCGATAAACGAGAGTAGAGTGATTTTTATCATCGAAACTTTTTAAAAGCTGTAAGCAGGAAGTAATAATCTTGTTTTTTCTGAGTTAGTTGTAGAACTATTGATGCCCGAGTTATCATTGTGATGCAGAAGGATATCAATGTACTGACTGAAGGATATGAATTGAATTGAATTGAATTTTATTGAATTTCAATTTGATCAAAATTTGTTGAAATGATATGAATGTGTCAACTTCTGTATCATTCTCCTTCACTCCTTCCTTATTCTTTCGAGAACGAAGCTAGCTCAGCTTTCGCTGAGCGAATTGACACTTTTCATGCCCTAAACGTACATACTCTCAAATTTATCGAAAAAATTAATACCACCTAAACTAGTATATTCTTATTTTAAATATGATATTATCCTTATATTCCACACTAAAATTCATTTAAATCAACTTTTTAAAAAAGTTCGAATCCTGCGCGTCTCACTTTTTAAATTTTCCAAATGGAAAATTATATTCTCCTAAAGTGAAAACAATTTTCCAAATTGACTTCCTTAGAAATATAATTATATCTTGTGATGTTAAAACAATTTAAAGTTCCATTTTTTATTGAGTGGCAGAATTTTCTTTTTCTTCATAAAAACAATTGTATAATATCGCACATTAAAAATAAATATAAAAATAATATATTAAATTTGAGAAATCCTCTCAATTTTGATGAACTATCAACATAATGTAGTCGCTGAAGAATTCATTGCGACACATATCTACAATAAGATTTTGATAATTTATTTTAAATTTAATTTTGGAAAAATTAAATTAATTAAAACAATCAAATAAATACAGTCGTTTTTTTGAAATTATTTTGTGCGAACTTGAAATAATGTCTCTTTGAACGGACATAATTACAATAAAATAGAAATAACTAGTTAAAGAAAGATATTATTTAATTTGAATGGTAATATTGACAATTATGCTCTCAGATTATACTGTAATCGATTCATTGGAATTGAAATCAAATGCAATTCCAAGCTGCGTGCTCATTGGAATGTTTGCAAGCACAAACAATTCATGACATGGAGGAAGAATCGGTTTTTCAGGAATTTCCTGAATGTTCTTTTTCTCTTTCTTCTTTTCCCTTTCAGACTTCTTGATATACTCATCCTTCAGCAAAGTCCTGAGGAATGGGTCTGTTTCATCCTTTCTGGAGAGAAGGCAGCTTCTGTTTCTTACGCCACTTGGTGTTCTTCCTGGATAGGGTTGTTAGATTCCCGACGATAGGTGTCTTGGAAGATTTGCCTGGTGTCATCATAGTGTCTTTAAATCAAAAATTTTATTTTGGAGTTAGTTTTATTGATTTTTCAATAAAAAACATTTCTAAAACAAGAAAATAAAACGATAAAATATTTATATTTTATATAAGGATCTTATATATTTAAAATAAATATCATTTTATTTTTTTCATTGGTGTCTGTCAAACCATAATACACTATTCAAAAATTCAATGTGTCTTGCGGTTTCAAAAGACACCTTCAAATTGAACGATAGCACAGACACTATTGAATTTTACCCATTGTATTTAGTTTTTACCCTTTTTATTTTTAAGAATTAATGACTGAAACAGCCGTTTTGCTTAAAGTTCATTCAGAGAAAAACAATTCTTCTTCTTCAATCTATTGGCGCATTTATTTCTACACGCCAATAAGGAAGGGAAAATTATAAGACACCATGGTGTCTTCAAAACGCTAATTTTTGATATTTTTAACAACCCTATTCCTGGAAGATGTTGGGCAATTTTTGTCCATTGTTTTCCATATTTCTTGAGATATTGGATGATATGTTGGTCTTCAACCTCCGTCCACTCAGAATTATTAGCATTTGGAGAGATATAATGATTCCATCTGTCACGGCATTGTCTTGGTGTCCTTTGTGGGATTCTTGTGGCAACTTCATACCAATTGTTTGTACCAAGCTTTCTTACAAGATACTTGAGCTTCCTGTCCTCCTCTTCTGTGAATCTATATCTATGGATTTTCTCGTATGGCATCTTCTTTTCGGTTCCGTACATTAAACTGAATCTATAATTGTGAAAAACGATATGAGAATTTTGAATATGTAATCAAAAGACTCAAAATTATTTTTATTTTCAATGGGATTTTTTCAGTTGTATTCAATCTTCACAAAAATCGGGAAACATAAGTGTAGTATCGGCTTTACCTAATTTATACATCATTGATAAATTAATTAAACTATAATGGAGCAATCGTAATTGCACGTTAATGGATTTCATTCGTTATTTTTTGTATGATGATTCAAAATTATATTTTATATTTTGTATGGTTTGAGTTCAAACTCATTACAAGTTAAATTATGAACCACAAGAATAAAGTAAGTACTGATTGTTTAATCGATTTTTTTTCTCAAAAGATTCGGAAAAACTTTAATATTTAATATCACATATTCTTGTTGCATGTTGTAGTTACAATTTATTATCATTCAATTACTTGATAACAAAAATCTAACATTGATGAAATTTGAAAAGGATTTTTTATTCAATGAATGATATTATGTAAAAATTTGATAGTGGTGATAGTAAATTAGGTATGGTTAATCTTTATCTCAAAAGTAAAGCTCAATTAAAAATCTGTCATGAAAATTGTAATGAATAAACCAGGTTGTGTCAATACAAAACTCGATTGCATATTGATATTTAAATTATATTTCATAATTTTCAAATTTTTCAATTTTTTAAGTCCACGTCTGAATCTCCCTCGAAATAATAGATTTTCTGAAACCTTATACATGTTCAAACTAAAAATGGTTAATCAAAATAATTATCTATTCCCTCAAATCGAACTACCATTTTTTAATGTTTTTTATATAAATACATTTTCCATCAACATTGATATTAATAATTCATTCAATTTTCATTCGTTTTATATCGATTTTGAAGAAATCTTGAAATTTACTAAAGCAATTAGTTCGTGACTTTTGATTAATGATGATATCGTCATGAATACCAAATATCATGAAAAAAGTAATATAACCATAAGATTATTCTATTTGGCCTCAAGATTTCAAGTTGTGTCACTTTATTACTCTGATTTTTTTGAGAAAATGAATATTGCTCTAGACAGAGTTTAGGAATGTTAATTCATCATTTGTTTGCAAATATCATAACCGATTGTTTTCAAGAGATTAAGAGTTCAGTTTGAAATTTTTTATGTTTGAAGGAGCACAAGAATATATAAATGTATATATTTATTTTTTTCGAATTAATCTCATGTGCTCTGTTTGTGAAGCTTTTTCAAATCAAATTAATGACATTTCATTTTATTTTTAAATAAAAAGGACATTGAGGACAATAATCATATTTGAAACAACAGCTATTCAAAAAGGGTATCACCTGGCTTTCAAATTGTTTACAATATTGAAAAAATTGAAACTATTGATTTCAATTTTTTGCTATTTAAAAAGTTTTTTCATGTTCATCATTAATGAAATAAAAAACAATTTTACGAATGAATCATAGAAGAAGTTCATTAACAGATTAAGAAGTTATATAACGTGTTGTAAATATCACAAAAACTCTTTTCAATTTTTGTTCAAAATTCATATCACTTATTCACAATTTTGATAACATTTAAAATCAAAATAATGATATTTTTGCTTGTAACATATACACATCAATATTATCACGGAATAAAATTATTGAATTGTTCGATGACGATATGAAATTAGTACCAATTCATCGTGAAAATATGTAAATAAGATAAATTATCAATAAATGCAAATAAATTGTAAACATCACAATTAACATACAATTATTTTTTTGAATTCAAACTGAAAGTTTACTTTCCTCACTTCTTTAATTTCTATCCATTTTAATACATACAGTTTAATATTTTCGTTTATTCGTTTCAAATTTTATTCAAACCATAAATGAATTTAGCTTCGTTTTATTAACTTCTAGAGTAATTCACTAGATCAATTGTTTTCCCACCGGATGTATGAATTTACGTTTCAGATATAAAAACCAATTTCTACTCAAACCTTCAACCTCTTTACAAAAAATCTTCTCAATTTTCATGACATATCCGCGTTTTTTTACAATAAAGAATTTTTCCTAAGTAAGATATGACAAGGATACCGAGTATTTTCGAGCTTCAGCTTCCTTCTAATACAATCTCCCTCTTCAACGGAATCAATTCCCATCAACCGGTTTCAATCAAAGCCCCAGAAGAAAAATCATATAACCTAAAAGGATTGTGGTCGCCGAAAGAAGATGAAAATCTTAAAAAGGCAATCTCTACTAAAAGAGGACCAATATCATGGGACGAAATTGCTAAATTTGTTCCTGGTAGATCTCCAAAACAGTGTCGTGAAAGATGGACATATAGATTATGCCCAAATGTGAACAAAGCACCTTTTGAAAGATGGGAAGATGAATTTATAATAATTGAGCGAGAAAAAATAGGAAATCGCTGGACAGAGATTGCCGCAAAGCTTCCAGGAAGAACAAGTTGTGCTATAAAAAATAGATGGTATACTGTTCTAAAGAATAGAATCAGTAATGGGTATTTTTCAACATTCAATTACTTGCAACCTCAGAATATAAATCAAACTTGCGCTCCACAAACCACACAATACCATATTTGATTCTGACGCGTTCTTTATCTTATGCTTTGTTTTGTTTTTAATTTCATAACTAAATAAATACAAAATATTTATAAATTTGCAAATTTGACTATATTATTCGAATTCATCATTGATATGTTTACATATTTTAATACATAAACATAGGTATTTTCAAATTCTTATTCTACGCTTCATCTTTCATTTAAGAATGCCATTAAAATCAAAAGAAGAGGTATCTAAACAATGCGAAAATCAATATTTTTGTTGTAAAATTATCTGATATTACCAATTTGAAATCCAAGGATTAGAAATATTCAAGTCATTAATAATAATGCATTTATTTTTCTATTTCATTTTAATGAATGACTTCAAGGAAGGTTTATCGGGCTTAAAACTCATCAATTACTTTTCTTTTAAGAGTTTATGATCATCATATTCTTTTTATTCAATCATATATATAATTTCACATAATACAGATTAGGTTGTAAGAATGTAAATTTATCTGATGACGTTTGTTGTTGTTTAAAACGATTTCATTATATATATGAGTTATGAATTGAACAAATTTCTAAACTCATATATGCTAAACATACTTCATCTGAAATTAAGACTAAAAGTTATGTGGTGCAACTAAATATGGCATACTCAAACTTAAATCATTCGAAATTTATATATTTTTAGTGTTCAAATTGGTTATAATTTGAGTTTCAATATAAATTAGTGCTCTTATCATACTTATTATGTTAATTTCTGTTTCTATCAGTGAGCTGTTCAAAATTCAAAAAATTTACTGAGAGATTGCAAGTTAAGCCTATATCATTATGGGAAAAGATTACAGCTGAAATGTTTTCGTACATCTAAGGAATTTTGACTACAAATAAATCAGATGTTGTTTGAACATTTGTAATTCATTGTTGGCTGTTAGATAAACATCCTCTTACGATATTACACAATGGATACATTTGTCAATATGTTTGCATGCCTTAATTTTTCATCTTATCACTGATTTATTCTGAAAAACAAAAATTAGCAGAGGTTAAATAATTATTACCAGTGAATTGGTTATTATTCTAAATTATACATGGCACGATGGGCGCTACTTTTTTGGCGCCAGCGGCGCCGCCCGCGCCTCCGGTGGCTCCCACTGGTGGGGAGGAGACGATAGAAAAGATATAAATTTTACTAAAAAAATTGAATTTTGGAAATTCTTTTGATTTTTTTGAATGATTTACGAAGAGATTGAACACATTTTGTACTATGAAATATCGTTATTAATAAATTTACTTCTTAAACATCTATTAAAATCGCAATTTTGAATATTTTTATGATTTTTTTGACCCGATCACTTGCGCCCGCGCCCACTGGGAGGGGCGCTTGTAAAGTATTCAAAAATCAATGTAAACATTTCAATTTTTGCTCCCACCTCCCATTGGGAGGGGGGCATATATCTTGTAGCGTTCAAGTTCAAGTGATGAAAGTGCATAAGAAAGCTCCTTAATCATACCGATAGAAACAGCATTAGGGGCGCCAAATGGCGCTCGGTGATGTTTCCCATAAAAGCTTAATTTCAGGTATCCATAATCATAACCTGTCAGACGCAATAATTCATTAGCACACAATCATCGTTTCTCAATCAAGAAACGAAACGCACGATTGATTATGCTGGCCATTAAATTTTCATATCAAATAATTTACTACTTCAAGAAAAATTAAAGACTATCATCAACCAAAGCTTAAAATTCTCAGTGTTTACAACTCTCATACTTCGAATATGCATATTTCCAAAATAGCATGAAAATTTTTTTCATTTGGGCTCATTTTCTTTTGTTCTATTAACTAATACATGCAGTACAAGCTTGTTATACGTATACTTAATAAGTAAGGTCTTAAGGGAAATAATAAAAAACAATTTTGCTATTAATTATATTAAACAATATTTATTTGTAATTTCGTGATAATTATATTTCTTATTACAAAGTAAAGGTATTTGATATAATGTTTGCCTTACAAAAATGTTTCCTTTGTCTTGCCACCATAGGTATTCTATTTTGTCACTTTTTGCGCCCGCCGTGCCATGTATATTCTAAATACACATGCACCATTAAAATGTACTTTAGCGGGGTTGCAAATTCCAGATAAAATTTAGCAAATCGATCAATATTGAAAAATTTGACATGTCCAAAATCATGTAACCAAAAATTTTGTATCGAGCAAATTATCGTTCTTATTTTCATCGTTATTTAGATATTTATTCTATAATAATATTTATTAGTTCAATAACCCTCTAATCATTGTAAATTGTACTGAAAATTTTTAACAAGTAATTGAAATTTTGAATAATTCTTTTGGAAAACATTATCTCGGAGAGGCCTTAAGATTAATACACTAACATATATAAAAATCAAAACCTCTTCCTTTCAATCCAGTTTTTCAATGGATTACAAAATAAAATTGAGTAAAATACATGAAGTTCAATCCGCTCAAGTGAATGATTTCATATCAGAAAACATCGTATTGAGTTTTATCATTTATATTTTATTTCCTCAGAATTTAATTTCTCATTTAATATTGATTAATAAAGTATATAAATCCGAAATACGATGATAAATTTGATTGTGATTGAGCCAAACCGCAATCAGATATTCAATATTTTTGTATACGGACTTTTTTCTTTACAGCCCATGGATAACATCTTAGTGTTTATATCCAAGTATTTTTTTTTATAATGTACAAAATTTTGAAAGGTCTTTATGAAAACCATCAGTTTTATGTGCTTGATATCTGACTACCTCGGGCGGAAGGGGTATACAGTCTTAGAAATTATTGATCAATCAGTGCATCGAACAATTTATAAAGCCAGGCATAACAAGACAGGAGCAATCGTCGTAATTAAAGTTTTACCAAACTCAAACAATTCGCACCGTAGAAACGTATACGATCATGCCCATGAAATCCAAATTATGAAAATGCTCGATCATCCTCTTACCGTGGACTTTTATGATGCTTTTTCAGATGACGAAAGAACTTATATTGTAATGGAGTATCTTCCACGCGGAAGTCTCTTCGAATACATACTCCAGAATGGAAAGCTCTCAGAACAAATCTCGAATAACATATTTACCCAACTAATATCTGCCATTGATTACTTACATAACGAACTTCATATAGTCCATCGAGACATTAAGGCGGAAAACGTCCTTTTAGACCAAAACTTCAATGTTCGTCTGATTGATTTTGGCTTAGCCGGCCGAATTTCTAAGATTTTCCCTAAGCTTGATTTCTCTTGTGGTTCGATAGGATACATGGCTCCAGAGATCTTTTCAGGCCATGGTTATGATGAACAAGTCGACATTTGGAGCACAGGCGTCCTTTTATTTGCCCTTCTCACAGGATATCTTCCATTTTCGGGCCAAAACTCGTCCGATATTAAGCATAATATTCTCCATCAGAATATTGAGTTCCCAGATTATCTTTCCAAAGATGCCAAAAATTTACTTTCGAAAATGCTCGAAAGGAACCCAACAAAGAGGATTTCGATCCAAGGAATTAAGCAGCATAGCTGGTTCTCCTTCAACCAGTACAACGCCATCTCAGATTTCACTCATCGCATTGGACATATTAATTCCATCATTTTGAAGCCAGATCAGCTCATTCTAGCCGATATAGAAGCGCTCGGGATAAAGACAGAGAATCTCGGAACATCTCTCTTTATGAAAGATTGCACAGAAGCAACTACAGCGTTCAAGATAATTAGGAGACAAAGAATTGACTCAGAAATGTTATATTAGCACAGCCAAATTTTTTTTTGTTTTTATTGGCTGTGGATTTATATTTTATTCATGTATAAATCTATTTGTTTATATCCCTCTGTCTTTTTGAATATTTCCCGAATAAAATGCATATACATTCTATCTAAATACACATAATACTATTAAATTAATTAATAACAAAAGGATTGAGAAGATATCCAATATCATGATTGAATAATCATTATCGTTGGGTCTCAAATTCTTAGAAATCCAATGTTTCACAGGATTAAATTTAATATCTCCCAAAACAAACCCTTCAAAACATAATATTATTTGAGAAATTTTATTAATTTATGAATCTAATATTCATTTACCAAAAATTTAAGATTTATTCGTTCTGGATTGCATAGTTCAATACAACAAACTTTATAGATTTGATCAATTATATTTTGAAAAAATAACAATATGGCAAATTAGAATTAAAAATCTTTTTATCTACAATATGATGATATTAAATATAATATATATAGGCTTTCGACGATTACAGCCATGGCCGAACTTTTGAATTTGAAGAGGTTTGGCCGGGCCTTTTGCTAATGACCGCCGCTGCTGCCGATCGTGAAGCCGTCATCAAGATGATGCTCGCTGCCAAGGTTTACCTCGGCTCTACAAACCTTTCCTTCGGAATGAAGCCATACGTTTTCACATGCAGAAAGGATGGCACCCATGTTATCAACCTCGCCATGACATACGAGAAGATCAAACTCGCTGCCCGTATGATCTTCGCCGTCGAAGAGCCAAAGGATGTCCTTGCCATCTCCACAAAGTCCTTCGGTACACGCGCCGTCCACAAATTCGCTGAATTCCTTGGCGCTAACTACGTTGAACAGCGTTTCACACCAGGTCTCTTCACAAACTACTCCATCAAGAACTTCTGCGAACCACGCCTCATGATCGTCTGCGATCCAAACACAGACTCCCAGGCCGTTCACGAAGCTGCCTACGCTAACATCCCATGCATCGCTCTTTGCGACACAGATGCCCACCTCGACTACGTCGACTGCGTCATCCCATGCAACACAAAGAACAAAAACTCCATGGGTCTTGTAATGTGGCTCCTCACACGTGAGGTTCTCCGCCTCCGTGGTGCCCTCACACGCACACAGGAGTGGTCTGTCCTTCCAGATCTCTTCTTCTACCGTGATGCTGCTGATGAAGCCAAGATCGCTGAGGCTCTCGAGGCTGAAGGCGAAGAGACAGTCTCCGAGGAAGGCGCTATCATCAACGCTGCTGTTCCAAAGGCTGAAATCAAGGCTGGTGCCACAAACGAAGAGTGGGAGAACAAGCAGGAATGGGACGCTTAAATTAACAGCTAAAGATTATATCTGGAATAATTTCTTATTTTTTTATTTCATTTTTTAGAAATTTTCAAAAATTTATTTCAAAATATTCAAATTTCAGACCGCCAAATATACACAATCTGAAAATGGACTAAATTTTAAATCACAATGACCTGAACAAACATTAGAATTACATTTTTAAATGATTTATTTGATATCTTTAAGGGTGCACCCGTATGTACGTTTATTTGAGAGGAGGAGGATCACCCTCTCAATTTTGAGGGATTCGTTAGTTTATTTTCTCGATGAATATGCAATAAAATTTGATTTTTACCTTATCAATATACTTCATATAATATACACATGTTCATGTAAAAACTTTTTTCCAAAATCCTCAGGAATTAAGGGATTTTTGAATTTTAAGAATTTTTTTCGAATTTTTTCGAAAAAAAAAATTTCAGAACAGCCTTAACGGCTAAGATTTAGGAACAATGTTAAGTATCAAAAAGAAAGGAGGTCTGATATAGACAACATATATCGTTGAAGGTTGAAAAAATCTCTAATATTTGAGCCCAAAATTTCAAATTTTAATTTTTTGAAAAAAGAGGCCACCCGTATGTACGTTTATTTGAGAGGAGGAGTATTATATTTTTGAAAGGGTGAAACATTATGAATATGTTAATTATATAATAATATGTATTATTATAAAAAAAGAAAAAATAATGCACGTTAAAATTTTTCTTTCTTGATTTTTTACAAAATCTACTTAGAATTATGCAAAATATGACTAAATAATTATAAATTTCAAGTTAAATTTTAATTTTGATAAATAATTTAAATTTCAAAATATCAAGTTCAGTTCGACTATGTATGTAGTAATTCCTCAATAAAGTGCCAAAACCCTATTAAAATATATGAACATTTTCAACATTTTAATGTTTTTATTTAAAAATTTGATGGAATATGAGCTTCAAACAATTATTATGTAAATAAAAATAATTAAATATATGTATTTATTCGTATTACAACCGTAGTAAGTCGATTCTTCCTTTCTTCTACTGAGTTTTGAATTTGATTTCGAATTGTAAAGAGATTCAAAGGGAAAATACTAGCGGATAAAAACTACCTCCATGAAAGGTTCATAATGGAGTCAAGTTGTATTTTTTGATATTTTTTGCTTTTCGAGCCTAAATAGGTAGCCAAGATAATGCCTAAAAATAAGGTTCTAAATTCTGAAGTTTACATGATCCTCTCGTGTGCACCCTTAACGATTTGGCATTGTTAATGTACTAAAAACTCCGAATTTTACTAGTATTTATCAGAGTCACATAGGAATTAAATACAACTCAATACTATATGATGTAATGTTATCCAATAGAAATCAGATTCAAAAATATGAAACCAAGAACCTGTTTAACATTTGGCTATTTATGTAAACTGCTTTGTTAAGTTTATGATTTCAGGAAGTTCTCAAATTTATCCATCTTCTCAATTAGTTTGAGATCCCACAAAGTATTTGTGCGAATTTACGGTTCAATTCTATATTTAATGTTATATTTTCTAAAAAAGATTTCAAGGTTATAAATGAATACCTCCTCAATTTTGAGAACTCTTTCAATAAATAGGAAGATTAGATTATTATAAGTCAGTTAATATGTTTATTTAGAAATTGCCTGTAGGATAGCATACATCTATTGTCGTGATTATAGAATGCCCATTTTTACCATGGATAAAATCAAGTTTTCGAAGGAATAAAAAGAGAATAGTGGATTTCATAATTTCTGCAAAAATCTGAAATTCATTTTGAATGGAATTGATTAGTGAAATTGCTCTAAAACGAGAAATTGAGTTATCAATTCTTTCTTATAGCGCACATTTGAGCTTTGGGAATAGTAATTACTCAATAATTTCCCAATCTGAAAACAGATTCGATAAATTCAAAGTTGAATCTGTTCGAAAATCAAACATTTATGATTACATTATTACAAATCTAGACAAATCAGATAAGTTAATAGATTTTTCCATTGAATTATTTATTAAAAAACAGAAAAATTCGGAAATTGAAACAATTCCGGAACAATTGACTTTCAATAGTGGGAAATATTAATATACTCTTACATTTATACATTCTAATCATATTCTCATCTCTAAACTTCAAAATGAATATTATCAAATTTTTATATCTTGGAATAATATTTCAATTTTACCAAATAATAAGTTTATTTGTCAAATATTATCGAAGACTACTGAATCATTATATAATTCCAAATTATTGAATGAAAATTACAATTATGAGACTAAATTTCCCAAAAACAAAGATATTCTATCAAGGCATGGACCAGATTTTGTTGATATTGATCCTAAAGTTACTCAAAATACTTATGAATTCAAAGCTGATGACAAATTATCATTCTCAGGAAAATTAGAATCTACTGGTAATTTACAGGCAACAATTGATTATTGGATTGATGAAAATTATCAAGGTAAATGTGGAAAAGTTGACTCATTTTATAAAAACTCTAATAGTGACAATACATTGTACTATGCACATTTTTCAATTTCCATAACCATACCAAGGTTAACATCAGGTCTTCATACTTTAGCTTTTCGAGCAGTAAAAAAGGATACTGAGGGAGATTATTTAAAAATAATTTTTAATTTTATTGGACCTCCAGTTGTGGAAAGTGTTTCAGTCCAATCTATGTATAATAAATGCACTGATTCATCGATTCCTGTAACAATATCTTTATCGAATCAAAGATTCCCTCTAACAATATTTTATGGTTTTAATGTGAATGCAATGCATCATAAATATTATCAGAACTCATTTCTTACAAGTTATCAAGTTGAATTACCGATTCCAAATCAAATAGGAAGTTACAAAGTAATATCTTATGTAACAAATCAATATGGAACCTCAAGTTCAAAAGAATCAATAACTTTTTCTGTAACTAAGACTTTACCTTCAGTTCATTTTGCTCAAATTCCAAAACCTCAATATACGAACAAAGTTGATTCTCAAATCGAAATTCATGGAAATTTACAAGGATGTAATTCATATACGGATGATAAAATTAGAGCTACATTCATTGATCAAAATTATGAAGCAACAATGTATACTAATTCATTTAGCATTTTCATCCCTTTATCAAATTCTGTTAAAGAAGGAGAATATAGAATCTTTGTATCTGTTTATGATACAACACAGAGTTCTCAAGTTCAAACTTTCGTTTTCAAATATCTATATAATGATCCAGAGATCACATTAGTATCATTAACACAAGAACAATATATCAGATATTTTGACAAAAATATTATCATTGATTTTAAGATCAAAGATAAAGATGGTGAAGGAACAATATCATTCCAAGAATTTATAAATAATCAAAATCATAAAAAAGTTAATTCATTTAAAATTCCAGATACTGCAGAACATATATACACAATCAGAGTTTCAGTTGATGATTTTTTCATTGAAGGTCAAAACAAAATTAGCTTTTCTGTTTCTTCTGGGATAAGTTATACAAAATCATTTGATATCAATGTTCAGATTGTCTATCCAAATCCAATCATTCAACTGAATGAATTCAGAAATAATAAAACTAATCGAATATTGAACAGAACAATCTCAATCTCTGGAAGTATCATGAGTGCACATAAAAACAAAGATGTTTATCTTTCATTTTTTATCAATGATCTTGAAATTAAAAGAAGTATTTTAATGATTTCTGATGGCTGGACTTCAATTCCTTTCTCAGATATGATTGATACTAGTTTCCTTAAATATCAAGGTAATTATTATCTTAAAGCTAAGGTATGTGATGCATATGGCAAATGTAATGAATCCAATAGTGTACCATTTAATTTTCTTGATTACCCTGCATCATATTTCCCAGATGTATACACAACACTGAAATCTAATGTTTACTCTAGAAGAAAATGAGAAAATGATATGCTTAAAACGAGATTACCATTCGCAAAGATTTAGATATCATTACCCATCTGCACATATATTTTTAATTTGCACAGTAATATCTCTATAATGATCAAGTGAATGGGATTAATAAGAAAAATGTATTAATCGAAAGAAAATAAAAAATTAAAAAATGGTTCCACTGGGGCTCGAACCCAAGACCTTAGCGTTATCAGCACTACGCTCTACCTACTGAGCTACGAAACCTTTACATCTATTCAAAATCTTTTGAATTACTGATTTATATAACTTATTTGATGATATCAACATGGATATTTTTAAAACTTGCTTCAAAATGAAGGTCGAAATCACTATATAGTGATTATTATTATCCTAAAGAGCATTTGATTATGATTTTTCTTTTTTTCAAAATAAACTTGACAGAAATTTAAAAAGGTGACACGTTTTTCATCTTTTTCTTTGAACATTTTCAAAATTATCTCCAAAAATTCAGCAGGTATTATAATTCAAACGGAATATTATTGCATTATGAGCGCCTAAGAGAATTACATATTTCACCAAGAATAGATGAAATACTATATAATTGAATCTATTAATTCTTCTTTGTTTTCTTTTTTTTTCTAAAAAAATCATTGAAATTTATTCAAATCATATGATTTTATTCCTTAAGATAGACTTATAATAGCTTACAGATCTACAAAATCAATTTCATTTCCTGATACTGATTCCAACAAGCGAAAGTTGCAAGAATTTGATGAATTCTGTTTTCCTTTTATTATTGATCGGGTAATACCGAATAGGGGTAATTCTTATATACCCATTTCCTGTGCTAGATGGATTTTTCTTAGCCTTATCTCCATTTATTGTATCTGCTTGATAAAGATTAAATGCCGAACTTAATTTATACCCAGTGGGGAGTGTTGAAGTGGAGTTCAAAACAAATCCAGAACCTCCAGCACCAGCACCATATTGGAATGCCCCAGCACCTCCTCCAAACCACCCACTACCTCCAGAGGAATTCAGAGCTCCTATACAATTACAGTTTACATTCCCTCCATAACCATAGGTACCATCAAAAAAAAATAAAGGAGAATTTTTATTTGGCGTTCCTGCAGCGCCACCTTTGGTTTGGGTACCTCCTTTACCGTCTTGCCCTGCATTTCTTGGGCTTGTCCCTCCTATTCTCCCACCTCCAGAACCGCCATTTGATTCTCCGTTATGTGAAGCAGCACCTCCACCACCCGCCACTATCAATCTCTCATCTAAAGATTGACCATTAACCCTGATATCAGAAGCACCACCTCCAGTAATCACAATAGAACTATCATCGGTGTTATATCCTCCACCATTATAACCCCAGCATGATTTTCGCTATAGGATCCTTTTCCTCCAACAAAAATGTAGAGAGTTACAAACGCAGTTAGATTAAGAATTCCGTGCGAATAACCTCCTTTCCCTCCGAAACCGATTCCATTTTTGACGTTCGATCCACCATCAGCACCCCAAACTTCGAGGAAATATTCACCAGGAACGAAATTCTCGACGTATGGACTGCATGATGATGTATTTGAACATTTATAAGAATAATCTTTCGGAAGAGTGGAGATGAGTAATTAGAACTAAAAAATGAGTGTCAAACAATGTTTATCTCATCTTAAACATTCCAATTTTATAAGTTTTATGCCTCAAATTGAAAAGAATATAAAATGATTTAATTTGAGATTTCAAAAAATTGATGAAGGAAATACAAAAAAGAGACAGTATAGCAACTTGTATTACAAAAAGGTAATACATAGCTTAAAAAGTGATTGATAATTCGGCTTGGTTGGTAAAATAAACTTCATTCTGATCCGATTTCAATTTTGTTTCATGAATAAAAAATGGTTCCGCTGGGGCTCGAACCCAAGACCTTAGCGTTATCAGCACTACGCTCTACCTACTGAGCTACGAAACCTTTACATTTATTCAATTTATTTTAATATCTTGTATTCAAGGGAGCTTTTTGAGTCCCTAAATAGAATTTTATCCATGTTAATTTTACACCCGGTTAACACATACTTGATTATTATCGCTCAATACAATATTTAATATCGTTCCGCATGTCTTTCAAAAATTTTCTCAAATTTCATAATTTTCTGCAAACAATTCCTTGCTCAATATATAATATTTTTTATCAGATATTTTTTTGAAAAATGTACGTTTAGCAATGAGGAAAAGTCCAAGAAAGATTGCTTCCGAAGAAGGAAAAGCAGAAGATTTTGAGGCCGCCGTGACAAGACTCACACATTATTTACTTGGAGAAGAAAAAGAATTCAAATATAGAAAAATTCATCAGATTTCAAACAATGAACCTGAATATAATTTTAATTTCGAAAATGTCGTCATTGATGATCTTATAGAAGAGAAAAATGAAGATGTTCAAAAGCTTAACAACGTTAGATTAGAAGATAATTTTTATAAAATCGAATGCATTAATAATGCAATTCAAAACCAAGTACTTAAATCAGATAAGTCGAAGTACAATTACAAGTGTATTCGTAATCCAGAAGAAATTATGAAACTTATTGAAGAGAATCAGCACTCGAAAATAGTTAGCGAACGACTTGCCAAATCAAGGACAACTCAAAAGAGGGCATTTATGGACAATGACATGAAATACTTTAATATTGTTACTGATAAACAACAATTATTCAAAGATAGAGAAAAATTCAGGCAGAACTACAACAAATGAGTAAAATACTGTTTCTATTTTTATTTGTTTAACTTACTATTAAAAATTAATATCACAATCGGATCTGTTACTCTAATTTTAAAAAGGATTTCAATCTTATTGAGGAATTCATTTCCATGGAAGTAGGATTATTATATAATAATGAAAAATAATTTAAATAAATTCACTTTATGATATGAATTTTAAAGATTGGCATCAAATTTCTCTTGATTCTAAATATTAAAAAAAGTATAAATAAAGTAGATTTTTTGATGAAAACTAAGGTATTTATGTGGGTGACAAGTTGCATGGTAAATACAAACAAAAATAAACTTTTTTTTCTTATTCCTTGAAAAGGAAAGAAATTATAGATAAATTAAGTACTCAAACAGGTATAGTCTTCTTCTTTGGACGTTTCTGCTCTGTCAACTGAACAAATTCGTGGTATCTGATAAATCTTTTGCTGAGGAACGTAATTCCATCCATAATAAACATCATAATGTTTATAATATAGCATATTGTTGTAATAAGTCTGTAAATACTTAACAAAAGAGGGATTTGGAAATGAAATATCGCAAGTATTAAAATTATTGGAATTAATGCAATAATAAGTATTATTTCCATGAAAGCAAAAAATGTTCCGGGTAGTTTTCTTTTATTATGTTTCAATCGTATTATAGATTTCGGAATAATGTGAATACAAGGCTGCATCAATAGAAATAGAAAGAAGAATAATGTCTGAAGATGTGGATGAACGCTAAAATCAAAATATATTGAGAAGAACGAAAATATCAGATATAATATGCTGAAAATAACATAACACGTTAAAAATATATAAAGTTTTCGCTTAATGTCTTCTGATGATGACCGATGAGACTTAAGATAATACTTGATTACGTAGGAATTAATGAGAAATAGGCTTATTGCTGCTAAAATAAGCTGGAAAAAGAATTTTTGGCGATACATTTGGCATGATATGATGTCTGTTATACCAGGAATTAAATAAATGTTTTCGGGCATGTCGAATAAAGTGCTGACTAAAGAATTAACAGTAACAATGTCATAGGATAAGAAAATCAACCAAAACGGAGCTGACGGAATTGTGAAGAGGGATAAGACGATCGCTTTCACCATTCCTAAAATAATGCTCATAAAAAAGTTGAAAAGGTGACAAATTTTCCAACCACAAGGATCTTATTGTTTTATCAAATTAGGAACATCTACCTCACACGCCTTGCAACTCTGGAAGTCAACCTTCCCATTAATTTTGAAAGGTTTTACTAAAATTATTCTGGATCTAAATAAAGGAGTTAACATTCTCCATGAGAACTGATCTACTAAATCAGCTAGCTATAGAATTATGTAAACTCTTCTGTTTTTATCAAAACTCCCTTTTTAAATATTGATATCTGATATTTTTCTGAATTTTTTGTGGAACAAACCATCTTTGAACATAAAATTCTAAATATTTCAAGCTAAAAACTTCATACTTAAGTAGAAAAGAAAAAATATTTGAATTAATAAAAAATTCGAATTTTTATTTGACCAAAAGAACATTAAATAAAAGTAAATTAGTTAAGATTAGTTGTTATGATCAAAATAAAACAACGAAATTTTATTTTGTAAAAATAAATAACAAACAAAAAAAGAAGGAAAAAAGTAGACGCGAAGTCTGCGCAGGTGCTCGACCTGCGGTTGATGCAGCAATAAAATCGCTGAGACACGAAGTCTGAAAAGCGAGCTGCACCAAAATTTTTGCACAAGGGCCACGAAGGCAAATGACACGAAGTCAGTTACACTCCAAGAGAATTGGCATCGGTCTCTTTAACGGTGCACGTAATGACGATGTATCGTGAGCCGACTTGATCTCTGGGAGTGCGAGTGGAGAAATCTCCTCCGAAACGGAGAAGAAAGGATTCCGCAATAGCTCTACGGCGCTAGGCCTGTTGCTTGGGTTCAAGCTGAGCATGGATGTAATGATATCAAAGGCATCTGCGAGCTCCGGTGGTAATTTATCCTTAAGAAGCTGCTCGAGCGTTCTTGGATAAATATGGAGCATGGATGCTAGACGCCAGTTAGGAAGGTGACAAAGGATGTCCCCATCTGATTGAATCTCGGGCGACTTTTCATCTTCTGATGATGGAGAGGGTGTTCCGGTCACTCGGAAGATTTTGTCCAATTGAGAAAGGTCGCTGCAAGCAGATGGGAACTTTTCTCCGGTACAAAGCTCATAAAAGATAATTCCTGCAGACCAGATGTCGATTGCAGTGGTATAGTCTTTGGAACCAAGGATTAGTTCGGGTGCACGGTAAGCGAGCGATGTAACCTTTGAAGTTAGTTGTTTTGAATTAAGTTGCCGTGATAAGCCAAAATCTGTGATTTTGAGAGTGCGCCCTCCTTTAATAAGGATGTTGGAGGATTTAAGATCACGGTGGGCGTATCCTGCCTGATGGAGTTCGGCAAGACCGCTAAGAAGTTGACGCATTAGGTGCTTCACCTGGTTTGGCTGAAGCAGAGGTTGACAAGAGAGTTGTTTCTGAAGATCTGTCTCACAATATTCCAAAGTGATACAGATTTCATGTGGATACCTAAATACACCGCCGTAGGAGACGATGTTTTCATGTTTGAAGTTCTGGAGAACTCCAAGTTCCCTATAGAAGGAGAGAGGAAGGCTCTCCTTTTGATCGTAGGCTTTGAGAATCTTCAAAGCTACAACTTCGTTTGTTTCAAGGTCGAAGGCTTTGAATACGCTTCCGTATGCTCCGACCCCGATGTTCTCGATGATACGGAAGCGACTTAATGCATTATACCGACCTGGACTCTTGGCGTCCATGGAAGGACGTGCAGTTGAAAAGTAATGAAAAGTGACAAATAATGATCATCAAAAATATCGAGTCATATTTAATTCAGATAGTCCATACATTTAACAATGTAGATAAAAATCTGCTCATCTCAAATATTTGAATCAAACCGCAAAAAATTGAATACAATTATTTGGAAAATCTAGAGAAATGATTTATTTTGATTGAATAATGACTATATATCAATACGCGACATTATGAACCGAATAAGTCACTATTTGGTCGAATGAACATTTGATTTGTCTAAATTTTTAACGATGACATGCATTTTTATCACTATATTTTAAATATCTAACACATCTCAAACATAATTTTCATAGTGAACTTGACCAATTCTAAAATAAATTTGAGTTCAGATTATTTTTAGTGGTTTTGAGGTTATATTATCATATACATAAAATGATGCGAACTTACCTATAGATTTATCATATTATAAATGTTCAAGCTCATCACTCTATTATCTGTCAACAATTTTTTCATGAATTCTGCTTCTATTGATAATGCATTTCGCTGTATGATGCCTTTTTGAGCATAAACCACATCCTATTGATTCAAATCAAATTCATTTCCTTTTTCAATGCTCAGCACATTTACTGTTATTCTTCTTACACTCCTTGTCGCATTAATATTCCTTGCATTTAAATATCATGTTTTTACCCCAATCAGTGTTAAAATTGAACACATAGCTCCTGTAAAGATTGTTTACACAACATTCATTGGCCCATACAAAGAAGCATGGAAACCTTCAATGCAATTATTTAACGAAAAGCTTCCAGATGATTTTAAGCCACATTGCCCAGGAGCTACAAAATATATTGGTATTTATTATGATGATCCAAAGATTACAAAACCAGAAGACTGCAGAAGTGTCATTGGATTTGTTGTTGATGATGACTTCAAGCTCAAAGACGATGCAAATGGTAAGATGCATGTTGATACAATTGAAATTGGCGAAGCAGCATGCGTTCACTTCCCATTTTACTCAATGCTTGATGTTATAGTTGGTGTTATGAGATGCTATCCATTAATTGGAAAATGGTTTAATGAAAATCATAAATCTAATATTCCAAAGGCCTTTCTTGAATTCTATGGCTTTTTACCAGATACAATTTCCATTACTGGACCAATTGGACCACGTGTCGGTCTTCTTGGTGAATTTCCAAAGCACGAATAAACTTTTTTTTATTTTTAGAAGAAAATCATTTTCAATCTAGTTGGTGTTTAGCAAGATCCATCACAATGCGAAACCAGTGCACAACAGTGGTTTCACACTAATCATTCCATGAAAACTTTTAAAATACTGATTATCATAATTCTAGTTATGCGATCAATTTATTTCTTTAATTGCTATATATTTTAGCACGAGTACATGTCATTGATGAAATCAAAGTCAAGATGACGACTCAATTTTTTCTATCACATCACTTTTCATTTTTTTTTGGATTTTTTTTTAGATTTTTTGTAATGAGCCTTGCCAATGCTAAAAGACACAAGATTATCTTCGTAAGCCCCTACGAGACAGATAAGCAAGTTGTATACCATTTAGATAGCCATAGCTGTCTAATTGACAAAATAGATCGAAAAATTAAATATCCCATACTAGAAATGCAGCAACTTTCTCCAGTGTCAAGTGCCAAACTTAGTTCTCCGTTGCCTGACATCAGTATTGACATAGTTTCAAAACCAATTTTGATAACAGAATCATTAATTCAGCCATCTTCAAACATTCAGCTTGACATGGTGTAATATGATCTGTAAGTACCATTATGAATTGTGAATTTTTAGAATCTCACTTTCAAAGCAATTTCTATAAAAGAATATAAGAAGATTTAGTCACATCCACTTACAATCTAGAAGAATTCTAGTTCGATGCGATATTTGTTTATTTTAAAAAGTTATTTCTACTTTGATTTTTTATTAATTATATTCACACATTTTACTCTTTCAAATGCTTATGGAACTTAAAGATATCATTGTGCAAACAGTTTAATGAATAAATACAATTCATATATCCTGTCTTATTCAATACACTATCATTATTGTATAATTTTATGCGCCTTTGATTCTACTCAAGCAATAAAAAAAAAAAAAAAAAAGGTATTGGGGCTTCCAGGCACTTCGTGCCCTCTAGCCCCGAAGATGTTTAGTATAAAACCGCTTTTTAACTTCACTTAAAATGCCACGTAAGCTACGTAAGAATATACGTAAGAGGAAGAGAGCATTGAAACATCCAATAGTAAGACTGACACCACAACAACAGTTGCAACAACAAATGCTGAATGACCCCACTATGTTGCAACAAATGTCAAGCAATCCTATGCTTTTAAACCGAGTTGTTGGTGCACAGAGTGGAGGTTTAAGAGCGGCACTTTTAGCGAAAATGGCAGGCTATGGTGGAGCTGCAGACGGAACAGCCTATAACCCTCAAAGTCAAATGAATTTGAGTTCACTCAAAAATCAAATAACAGATGTCAAAAAGTCAAACATAGACATACAGAAGCAAATAAGTGAAAACGAAAAGAAACTAGAATATGACAGACACACAAAGAAACTCAATGAGTTAAACGTAGAGAAAAAGAAGAAAGAAGAACAACTGAAAGAACTAAGTACAGAGGAATATGCGAAAAAAGTGTCAGAAAAAGCAGCAGAAGTAGCAAAAATGGAACAAGATGTCATAAATTTGAAAAACCATACTACTCAATATAAAGTACTGAAAGATGAAGAGATAAAACAAAAAGCCCTGAAGACATATATGGATAGCGATGAGTATAAAAAAGAAGTTGAAGCAAATGTAAAGGCAGAAAAACTTTTACAGTTGCAGAACCAAACCGTACAGTATGAAAACTTAGCACAAGAAAGTAAAAATAACGACGCGGCTATGCAAAAGGCAATGAAAAGCGCAGAATATATAAAAGCTAACAATGACTGGTTAGATGCCCAAGCCAACGCTAAAGCAGCCCAGCTTATAGGGTCAATAAGGACAAAAATACAAGCGGATGAAGACAGTTCAAATGAAGCTTTAACAAATGCTGACTTTAAGAACGCCTTCGAAGCTCTTCATAGTAAGGTGAAACAAGTGAACGATTTCTCATCTGGAAAGAAACTGAAGTCTGAAGGTTTCGACAAAGAGTTAAAAGAAGTAGCACAAAATATGACGAAAATAACAGATGCAGCAACGAGACAGGCAGTTCAAAGTGCCTATGACGCCGTTAGAGCAACTGTTGTGGAAAGTCAAGAAAAAGAGTTACAACAGACCAAAACAGACCTAGTAAATGCTTTCTTAAGAACGAAAAGTCAGGTAGGACATTACGCTGCAGATGGAACATATGTGCCAGCTGGTGGAACTTATGTACCAGCTGGTGGAACTTATATACTAGCTAGTGGAACTTATATACCACCAAACCCTCCAAGAGAAGCACCTGCACCAGGACTACCTAACACATTTACATCGTCACATGGACATAGACACAGGCATGCACCAAAACCAACACAACAACCAACAGTTCAAAACCCTGCACAACAACCAACACAACAACCAACACAACAACCAGCACAGCAACCAACAGTTCAAAACCCTGCACAACAACAACCACAGCAACCAACAGTTCAAAACCCTGCACAACAACAACCACAAACAGAGCAAGGACATAAAAGAAGTAGAGAACAAGGAAACCAAGAATTCTTAAAAATGCTTAAAGAAGACTATGGTTACCCAGATACTATTGACTTTAGTGACAGATATAAAGAAGCTATTAGAAAGTTCAAGGATGGAAATACTGACCCGAACCTATTTAGCTTTATGGCTCTGCACCAAAGGGGATATAATCTCAAACCTGGAAAATACAAGCTCGCTAAGGGATATGATTTAATAGCATATCATCCAAATGACATGAACGAATTTACTCCGAGATATTTGATGTCAGAGCTAAATGACAATTTAACTCTCTTCATGAAACGCGTAAAAAATAGAGACGGAACGAAAGAAGAAAGGTTTATGAGTCCGGATGACTTAGAAAGGGAACTTGTTGAAAACGGTCTCGGAATATATGAAATGCCAGCAGATGAGGTACAAGAAACTCCACAGGAAGAACTAGTTCAGATACAACCAGACATGGAAGAAATAGTTCAGCAACAACAGCTAGAAGAGCCTGAAGGAAACGAACAAGTCACTCCTTTGGAAACTAACTTCACAGAACTAGATGAAGATTTGGAACAGCCGAAAAATCTTGACCCTCAACAAGAGTATGCGGAGAATATGGAATATTTCCAAGAGTCTAAAAAAAATTCGGCTGACATAGTAGAAGAATATCGAAAAATGTTTGCCGACATACAAAAGACTCCAACACCAGATGAAAATATTCAGCATAGAATGGAAGTACTGAAAGAAAATGTACACAAATACAACAACCTTTTTTACTTACGAGCATTTAACGTTCAATCTTTGGATGAACTCGGTGAAAATAAAAGGTTAAATTTCAACAAAACATATAGAAATGAAACATTGTTTAAAGTTCATTCAGAACCTAACCAAGATGGAAACAAACCTACTTTTGTTTCTGCAGACTATGGAACTACAATGAGATGGGGTCATAAAGCTAATCCGGATAGGTGGTTCATAAACTTACAACCACAATTCCAAGAAGTTGTAGACGCAATGGAATTGAATGGTGAACGAGATATAGCTGGTATTTTAAGCGCGGCTTTAATGCCATTGAAAGATATGAAACATGCAGATATTTTGGACCAGTATGAAATGAACATGGCTGATGGAAATATAACACCTGACGTTCTAAAACATTTATCTCAAAGAACTACACAGAACCATAGAGATGGTATATTTGGTGAAGAGTTTAGAAAGAAAGTTATGGACAGAGAAGGAAGAGAACCTATTGTACATGACCTTGCAAACGAAAGTTTACAAAATGTCATAAAAACTTACTTTGCAGACAATGAACCGAGAAGGGATGAATATTTAAGAAAACTCAAATGGACAGTACCAAATGAAATGTTAGTATTGAAAAACATGTTCCTTGACAAAATAAAACCAACTACAGAAATAAATGACGCAAGACTGAAACATTGGGTAAAAGCTTTTCCATTCACAAAAGATATAGTTGGTAACATGGAAAGAAAACCAGAATGGCTACAAAAACATATATTTGGAAACGAGCATATTCCATATGGACAGGCACTGTTTGAAGAGCTTGAACCGGAAACTCAGGAAAGAGTCATGCAAACAATACGCGAAGACTCAAATACAAACTATGACAAACTCTTTCTAGGATATTGGTTACCTGAGATGGGCGACCAGAGCCCAAAGGCAAAAAGGGCATGGAAAATTTGCAACATACTAGATGAACATGAGGCAAAGATGCAACAACTTGAAGCAGAGGGCAAGTTACCAAAAGCGACACCAAAGAAGAAGAGAAGAGTAGAACAAAGTGAAAGTAGTGAAGAAGTAACTTCATCTAGTGAAAGTAGTGGCAATGAAGGAAAAAGAAGAGTTAGAAACTCAGTCAGGAAGAAAGTAAAGCTTGGTCCACGTGGGTTCTATTATGACACATAAACCCAACTATTCTATATTTTTACCCATATAATGTACGCCGCTCAGAATATAAACGCCAACAGTTTGGATGCCATGAATGGAAATGTTTTCCGAATGGTATAACGAATGCGACAATGCCATTAGAAGGTCAGAAATAGTTCCTGGAACTTACGAATATACAACTGCTTGTTTCTTATGGAAACGTAGGTGAGTTTGGAGAAGGTTCTTCAACAAACAGTAGAATTGCTTGCGACAGGTTTCATATAATTCTATTGACAACTCTTTCTTTATACGTGAACAAGACATGAAATAAAACCTTCTGCCAAGTTGTCTGACAAGAAAGGTTGCAATGGAATTTTCTATGTCGGATACCAATATGCTCCAGAAGTTTCATGGGATATAAGATATATTCTAACTCTGACTTAGTTCAACAGTAACATGGGCAAACTATGAATGGTTCGCTTTGAGAAACTCAGTACAACCACAAGCTAGAGAACAAACAGACCAGTATGCAACTATTGAGAAAATAAGAAGACTTGACCCTAACGTTCCAGGAGTTTTATGTTAACCTTTCTGGACAAACTGCAGCAGCAGTAACAAAGTAAAACTGAAACTTAGAGTTCCTTTGT